TGGCTTAGAATGAATTTGTGTGGTCTGTGATCGACTCTCCTGGTGGAAGAACACAGTGCGCCCTATCTGTTTGCATCACCTGTCACTTGTGGCCCTTAAAAGTCCTGAATGAATGCGTGTGAGTCTGTAAGCCTTAGCTCAATCAATTTCTGAATCAAAACATTTCTTAAACAAAACAAAGCAAAACAAAAACCCTCTGGTTAAAACATGCTTTAATGACCCAAAGTACTCAATGTGAAATTCTGTAAGACCATGCTGGGCTCCCTTTATGGTTGGAATTATAGCTTTTGCTGACTTGAGCATATAGGCCCCAAAGCACGGCTATGTGAAGGTCCTTTCCCGTGTGTTTCACTGATGAGAACAGGAGGTGATCTAGTCATCGACCTGATTTTAGTTTCTTACAGAAAATAAGGAAAGAATAGCTCTACAGTTTTTGCAATGGGGCATTTATGCTAACTTCTTAATTTTCATATACACAATTCTTTCCACATTTTGGGAGATTAATAAATATTCTTAATATACAGCAAGTGTCTTGCCAAAGATTGGAGTTTTTTTTTTTTGTTTATGATATTTCTCTTACTATAGAAATGACCTCTTTTAATTTTGAAACCCTGAAACTTGCAGCAAATACCTGTACCTGATATCAGTGGTTTCCTTACCTTTAGTGACTCACTTGCATGGGAAAATAAAATCAGGTGACTTGTACATAGGTGTGACATTAATATTTATGTGACGTTCTTTGTCTTTCTTCATGCATTCCTTTATTCATTTCACAATTACTGAGCACCAGCAATGTTCTAGATGCTGAGGAGTAAACAAGGAACAAAAAGAAGCCTCTGTTTTCTTTGTGTTTATATTTTGATACAAATCATAAGACACTTTTAGGTGGAATCACTTTTAGGTGGCAGGCTCCCCAATTTGGGAAATAGTTTCTGGGGGAGATAATAACATGGGCTGTTGAGATTTTGTTTCGTTTCCAATGTGTCCTTTTCCAAAGGGACTACCTAAGCACTGGGGAGTTTCTGTGTCTCTCTAGCAATCTTTCTTCTGAACACTTAGGAAATTGAGAACCTGAATAAAACACGTTTTTTTTTAATTCAACAAAATATATAGAGAGGTTTTATTATGTGCTTCATAGTGGTGCAGTTCTTTATAAGTAGTAACATTTTATTTTCATTACACATCTTTGCAGTAGGTGATCTTATTTTCCTTGTTTTACAAATCAGGGAAGGGAGTAACTTGGCCCAGGTGCCGTGTCACTTCCTACACCTGGGATGAGCACGGTCTTTTTTGCATTTTGTATTTTGGATTGCTTTGCAAGTTGAGGATTATTACAGCTGGATTTAGAGACAGTGGAAGAAGTCTGGGCCCTCTCTCACTGTGACTTCCACCCTGTGGGAGCTCTCTCTCCTTTTCCTTCTTGATTCTTTCACATTGAATTATGTGTCTAATTCAATTTGCGTAGATGGAATGTGTTTAATCTAATGTTATTTAGTTATGTGTTTCAGTTCCGCTAGCCTTTTTTTAAAGTTCTTTGAAGCAAGGAACAGGCAAATAGGTACATTGGACAAATAGGTCCAAGTATATGTTGTATTATTGTAAATTCTAAACCGATTAGAGCAATTTACTTGAAATTGGAGGTTTTCTCCTCCTTTGTGGGACCAGCTTAATAATTTAATTTAGCTGTTTGTAAATGTTCCGTTGTATTCCAATCAAGGATAACTGAATAACAGGCCATAATGTATTGGAATAGTAAGACTGGGGACAATACTATTTAAAACCTAGCATATTCAATATATGTGTCCCTTGGGGGGAAGTCTTTAAGCCACTATAGATCCTGTTTTTAGGTGGGTAGCCACATGATATTTCTAGTGGATAATTCTCCTACATCTCAGAGATCTGTTGATTATTTGAAATCAGATCCTTTATATTTCCTGACTCCCCAGGGAGGTTCAGGCCCCCTTTCAGGGAAATGTCCTGAGTTCTTCAGTTCTCAATCTCTGGTCCTTTACAAATTTGGTTCTATCCCGAGCCCTCATTACACTTTTCATCTCAACCTCCTATTGTGTCACAACATTTCCTAAAGCTCTATAGCACCTTCTGACATCCTGTTTCTTCAGTAAAACTTTGCCCAGTTAATTAAAAGTGAAATCTGGCCTCATGTTTCTTTCTGCTTGTTGTTTATGGGTGAAGTTTAATGAACATCCATTGTGCATGGTTTCTTCAGAATAATTTAATGAACGAATTTATTCTGCACCCGAAAACTAATACAACCCTCTCTGTTGTATGATTGTATTTTGAGCAGGGAACTTGTCCGGCCTGGTAAACATGAGTTTCAATTCTACTGGTCCTTGCTTTTTTTATGTAAGAAAAGAGTTTATCACATGTGGATGAAAATGAAATAAACTGTTCTTAGGCTTGTGTTGGTTTGCTAGGGCTGCATAACACATCCTGGGGGGTTGAAACAACAGAAATTAATTTTCTTGTGCCTCTGGAGGCCGGATGTCTGAGCTCCTGGAGTCAGCAGGGTCGGCTCCTTCTGCTCCTCTCTCCCTGGCTCGCAGGCAGCTTTCTTCTGGAGACTTCACAGGGGCTTTCCCTCTGTGTGTGTCTCCTCTTCTTATAAGGACGCCAGTTGTCCTGGATGAGGGCCCATCCTCCTGACCTCATTTTAACTTAACCACCTCTTTACAGACACTATCTGCACATGCACTCAATATTCTGAGCTTCTTGGGGTTAGGGCCTCAGCATAGCGAGTTTTAGGGGGACCCAATTCAGCCATCACAGGATTTAAATGTGTAACATAGCTGTCCTAAACTGTTATGACAAATTAGGACAAAATTCTTTTTAAAGCTTAAAAATAGGCAAGGAAAGAGGAGAGGCGATTGTAGGATATTAGCCATGAACTGGCTGAAACTGGCTGATTTGCAGTGAAATTCATAGTGATTAGTCTTTTGTCTGTACTTTCCCAAGTTTTTGGATTCAATGAAATTTGAAGTACCTTCCAAAGTACCTCTAAGATTTCATAGTTCTATTTTAATAACTGTTTGTAATTAGACCTTACTGCTTATTTAGGATATGCTGGGAGAGGAATTTTTATAATTCTGTGTTTGCTGTGTAGAATGCACAAGAGCAGCGCTTGTCAAATTGAATTGGATTCGAATCTCTCATTTCTTCTATATCAATGAAGAAAATGGCTGTAAAAATCCTTCTCACAGCATCTTACCTGCTATATGAGTGTGGATAGGTTAGGAAGCCTCCATGAGCCCTAATTTATTCACCTAAAAATGGGAATGGAGTTGTTAGAAGGCTCTCCTCAGCTCTTGGCCCTTGTCACTGTTGCCTGCTCAGACAGATGCTGTCCCTTTGCAGATGGCCCGAAGTGGCCAGATGCTGAGACCCAGCCCCTGCAGCCCAGCTGGGTTACCTGTTGACTTGCATGGCCTCCACTGTCTGCCTCATACCATGGAGGCCACGTGTGGCTCAAGGCCATCAAAGTGGAGCTGGGTTTATAGCAGTGTCCCCAGCCTTGCACGCTATGTGATAGAGCCCTCTGCTAGATGTCACTTCAGGAAGGATAGGTGCATTCCAACTGGTTACCATACAATTAATTTTTCTTACCCCCTCTTCCTATATTTAATAGTTACAAATGGTTATCAGGACATTGTTCCTCTTTCTATATCTTGTCAGAAGGCAAGAGGTGGAAGCTTGTGGGGCAGAGAGAGTTATATAGCTTAGCACATCAGATTTTAACATCCATGATTTTAGTGTTGCCAGAAGTAAGTGCTGGACCTTGTGTCTACCAGACCTAGTCCAGAGCACCCACCCAGAGGAGCTTTTGTGAAAGGTAATGAAATGTGTGTGTGTGTGTGTGTGTGTTTGAGGGGGCCAGAGGACAGAGCATGCCTTCCACATACTTTGTTGTAGTTAAATGAGTTTTCATCTCTTGTGTTGGGATTGAATTTATAGAAACGAGTTGTTTGAAACACTAAGGTGGCTTTTATCATTAGGCTTCAATAGATAAATTTGTACCTGAATAGTATAAAATTTTCTTCCAGTAAAACCATTAAAACAAGTTGACTAGTGAGTTCTCTATACAGGAATGAAGATGCTCATGTTCTCTTAAGCTTACCAATTTTAATCATTATATAAGAGCATTAAAATGTTATTAACACTGTTGACAGTAGTGTTTGACTTGTCAAAGTCCCCATAAGCTAACCCATTTAACATGGCTGGTATCTTCTCTTATGGATTCTGTATTCATCAGAACCTTTTCAGTTACAAGGTTCAAAGGTTAAGTCAGAAGGGCAATTTATTTCAATTTAAGTGAAAAATCCTAAGACTAGCAGTATCTTTAAACTGGGTTAGGTCCAGGACATGTAGGATGTATTGGGGCATTTTCTTTCTTTCTCTCAAATTGATTTATTTTCCAAAAAACTGATCAGGAAAATTACTACCAGCATCCCCAAGGTTGTATCCTTATGACTTCTTATTGGAAAGGAAAAATGAGCCTCTGTCTTCCTGTATCAAGTATCAGGGAAGATTTTGATTGGCTCTACTTGAGTCACATGTAAAGAATATTGTGGCCAACCACTGTGGCAAAGTACCTTGGTTGACAGGTATGCTGGGATCACATGGGCTGGGAGAAAGAGGATGTCCCAAAGAAAGACTGCTTAACAAGCAGACAAACATCTGCCTAGTACAGATAAATAGCATTTCAGGTCAGCAGAGATTTAGTTTTCATTCTCTTAGTTGAAAGGGGACAGGAAGGTAACTCATGAAATTGTGCTGAATCCATTTGAAAATTTTAAACTGTAACATTTACAGTCCATTAGAGATGAAGACATGCTTGAAAGGTATCCATCGGGTGGGATTCACATCATACAGACAATGAAATAGTGCAGCATAACTGGCGATTCCCGAGGTTGATTTAAAGTGGGGCAGTTTTTTGAGTAAAGGGAACAAAATGACAATAACGGACTTCTTTGCTTTCTTGGTAGGGTTAGATGACTGCCTGCAGCAGTATGTCCCCAGGTTTGAACGGGAGAAGATAAATGGAGAGCAGCTACTGCAGATTTCCCATCAGGAACTTGAGGAGCTGGGGGTCACACGAATCGGACACCAGGAACTTGTACTGGAGGCTGTCGACCTTCTCTGTGCACTGGTTAGTTCAGGAAAAGCTGATTTGTACCGTGATCATGTTCTTTAGAACCTTATTCTCTTAAATTCTCAGTGTTTGAGAGGTAACATATCTTCCTTTTCTTAATGATCCATTGAAGTGAAGCAGGAGCTGAAGATAAGAATATAAGAAGAATATAGAAGGGAAGAAAAGGGGGAACATTTCCAAGATGATCACATTGGCAAACTGTGGCCTGGGAGTTAACTCTGGCCCACTGTCTATTTTTGTAAATAAAGTTTTATTGGAATGCAGCGATGCCTGTTCAGTTATGTGTTTTCTGTGGCTGCTTTCATGCTACAGTGGTAGAATTGAGTCATAACAGGGACCTAATGCTCCCCCAAAGCAGAAAATACTGTCTTGCCCTTTACAGCAAGTTTGCCTTTTACAGAGAAGTCTGTATTTATTTTATTTTCTTATCTTCTATAAAAAGTTAAGAAGATGGAGATAGTCCTGAGTCAAAATGTCATCTTCTAAATTGAAATGAGAAATGGGCTCTGATATTCATGTCTGTTTTTGTTACTATAAAAAACATTTTTGTGTTTCACAAATATTTGTGATATTTCAATGAACTGATGGTTCTGCTGGAAATAACTGCTGAAATAGTAGCTAGATGGGGAAAAATGTGCAGATGGTTGAGCTTGAATGTGAGTGGGTTAAATACTGCCAGGTTCTGACTCTTGCACTAGACCTGTGGCTGTGTGAGTGGTTCTTTCAGGTGTGGGTTGAAAACACCTGTAAAAGGGCCTTGTGTTTATAAACTGGTTGCCTAGGGTGGCATCCATGTGTGTCTGTCATGGTGCTATGCTAGGAAGGCAGTTTCCTTAACTGCTAGGATTTGGACCAGCTCAGTAGCATTCAGGTGGGTTAGTAATGCCATGAATCTGAGCCGGAGCTATATACAATCACATCACTAAGAATGGTGGGAAAGAATGCGCTCCCGATTATTTTGCCATTGCTGGTATGCATTCCGTTGATTATATAACACTTGCTGCATTGTGCGTATTCTTCTTCTTAAAATGGACAGAGCCCTGTCTTCTGCTCTGAGATGTGCTGCTCTTGTTTACGAAAGTAAAGGGAAAATTATTTGTGGTTGATAAATGAGCTGCCACAGGGGAGTCTCTCTGGCCAAGTGGTGCGAGCATTGGCTTGGGAGGCAGCTTTTTGCATTCTAAGCCTGGCTCTTTGCTACAAGCTCTTTATTCTGTGACCTCCGGGGAAATGGTGGTGTCTGTTTCCCCATCTGTATAGTCACACTCCCCTAGATGTGGCTGTGCACCAACACGAAGTGTTTTGCACTGTGCAGAAGCTATCTCAGAGTCTCATTTGTTATTGAAATTGTATGTTTTTTAAAAATACTTTCAGGGTACATCATTTTTTGGTCTTTTCTTCTAATTTGAATCCTCTCGTTCCGTTCTGTGGCTGGACTCTGAGGATAGGTAAATTATGTTGAGATCCACAGTAGGAGAGGTGAGGAGGAGGGTCTGCTGGAAGCTCACTGTGCATGGCAAGGGGGCTGGTGAGCAGAACAGCTGCTTCTCTTTGCTTTTGCCCCCTCCCTCCCTACCTCTTAAGATATTAGACAAAAACGAACAAAGCTGAACAAATGCCAGAACCTAAAGCTGTGTTTTATCTCCTATAATTTCCTCTGAATTTCCTTTGTAGACAAAGTTCTGACCTCAGACTCAATCTGGACATGCTCCATGTGGTAGGGTGCCAGTGAGTGCATTTGACTGGAGGGTTGTGGGAAGGCTCCCAAGGGGATGTGCCTTTTAGGGTTGGGGAGGGTTTTAGAGAGCATTACTAAAATGTCTTTTAGTCTTCATCTACTTAAAAAATATTCCTATTGTAGTGCATATATTAATTATACTGTCTATGTAATCCATTTACAGCATATGGATCTTCATGTATATACATTGGTGATAATTTTTTGCCATGAACAGTCATCCCTTGGGCAGTTATATGTATTTACAATTGGCCCTGGTGTTATCAAAGAGGATTTTATGTAAACTTAGTTGAGTGGATGGACAGGAAATAAGTAGAATTGGAAGTAAGGAAGGGGAGGAGAAAACCAAACCACTAGGAAGTTTTGGAAAGAACAGGGCAGAGAGAATGCATAGGAATCTAAAATAGGGAGCAGCTATTGGTTAGGACTGCAATACTGGGGAGCAGATGGCCCACAGAGAGCCAGTGGTGGGTGGAGAGCAAGCAGAGAAAACACCTTTTGTGAACATTGACCTTGCCCGGCTGGGGTGGCTGAAGAGAGGGACTTGTTTTATGAGGCAGAATCAGGGCCACTTCCCAGGACCGAATTCAGAGTCTCCATCTGGTTCCCTCTACCTGGAGCAGAGGGTAGCTGGGACTGACTCTAGAACTGCTTTTTCCAGTAGAGCAGCTATTAGCCACCTGTGACTATTTAAATTAAAGCTAATTAAATGAACTGCAAGGCAGTTTCTCAGTCACACTGGCCACCTCTCAAGCCCTCAGTTGCTGCTCCTGGTTAGGGACTACTGGCCACCGTGTTTGGACAGCGCAGAGAGGGAACATTTTCATCATTGCACATCTGCTGAACAGCACTGGCCCCAAGGATGTGATTGAGAGTAGTAATGAATAATTATAAAGCATTTTCTTTGCCAGATCAGCCAGACCCTAGTCACCTGAAGACTGAGGCAGGAATAAATGTGTGTTTAAGGTTGGAGTAGGTTGAGAGAATGAAAACAGTTGGAAAAATGTCAGAAACAATACACGTGTAAAGTGATGCCGCCTAAATGGGTGATTAAATGAAATACCGAGCTGTGTTCACTTACCCAGAGTGCTTCTGTGCACCTGTGTGCCCCTGAATTTATTCATTCTTCATCATTTACCCATCTAAGGCAAATCATTAAAAAGTGTTATGCTGTTTAATGGGGAGAAATCATGAAGGAAGAGGAAGCTTTGCTTGATAAATTTGTGCGTAACTGGATCTTGCTTGCGAGCTTATTAAATGTCTTTAGGCAAACTGTGAGATACATTTCTTAGATTGTAACTGAATCGACCAGGTCAATAAGATGGTTTGGACTGTGTGTCTCTGATACTCCTTAACCACATATGCTGGATCATGAACACAGCTGGTAGGAATGGGAAAAGAAGGTTGAAGAGAAGAGATGTAAGCTTTGTTCTTAGCTAAAATGTGTACCATTTAAGGCACTAGAAAAGTGAGACTCTGCCTGTTTCCTTTTCTCCTGTCTCATGGGTCATTTCTTTAGGCAGACCGGGGAAATGTCTCTGGGTGGCTGACTTCTAATGAAGACAGATCTCGGTAGAAGGTTTTTCATGTGTGTATAGATTTTTCAAGACTCATTTCATTTCTTACTTTGTATCTTCTTGACACGTTATCTTAAAGCAATTTCTGAAAGAGACAGGTTTCAGGGAAAAGATTAGTGAAAATTATCAAATCTGATCTGAGAAATTATTCTTTTCTGTCTTTCATTATGGGGCATTTAAGTCAATAATCCTTTCCTGATTGTGTTTCTACACTAGAGGTTCTTTTGAACTAATACAACTGGTTTCTTGTTCTCTTCATATTGTGGAATGGTGTAGAAGGGGAGGAATTCTCCTTCCTTATTTCATTTGTTCCTTCCTTCTTTTAAAAATCACACTCTACTCTTGCTGCATCTATCCATCCTTCCAGTCCTAGGATTAGTTGTGGGGGAAAAAAGAGAACTAGAGCAAATTGGATGGAAATGAAAAGAACCAGCTAATAAGCTGTACTCCCCCTTTAATATTAAAAGTGATAGGTTTGTCAAAGATTGAGGTTTAAGACTTCTTGCAGTACTAAAATGCGTTTCATCCTCTTTGAGTTCATAAACTAAATGTGTATAGTAACAAAAGTTCCAAGTCATTTATGGTGACATTGACTATAGAAAGCTGGCTGCCCTGCTGTTAGCTCAGAACTCTCTGTATGTAAGCAGGCTGAGTAATTGAACGAGGGGACAGTTCCCATAGTCACAAGTCTTTCAAAACAATCTCATCATGTGGCTCTTGATGTATTTGCTTGAGTCTTTGATTCTCTGAATTTAAAAAGTCATGGTGAAAATCCATCTTTTCATTTTCGTCTTCTCTTTTGAAGGACAGTATCATATTTTAATCTTTAGAAAACGAATGACTATAAGGGTTAGATAGAACATTACTGTTAATACAGAACACTCATTTTATTATGAAGTTTACATTTTTATAAGGCTTGTGAGAAACTGTTTTCAGTTAATGGATCTAGGATGTTTCCTCTATAGTTGTATGTAAATTCTTCTTAAAATTTCTCTCTAAATTAAAAAAATTACTTAAAAAATTTTTTTTACTAGGAAGCAATGTAAATTTAAACTTCAAATAAAATCTCCTTATAGTTAGCATTGTTTTCATTAAGGTTATAGTCATTTGTGGTTATTGTTCTTATTTACCATTGTTCATTTTGCCAAAAAAAAAAAAAAAGGCTTCTTACAAAGTCCTTTGTATATATCTAGAGTTTGAGCCATGCCTCACCCCTCCCTGGGGCATTAGAGATGGGGGCTGCAGGAGAGGAGGGGCTGGGGGCCAGGCAAGATGTAATGGGGGCAAAAGCAGGGCTCAATTCCAAGGGCTTCTCAAAAGAGTCATATCTAGGAGGGATGCAGGCAGCTGAAAGGGGCTTTGGCCACTTCAGAGGGCGTGAAACAGACCAGGAGAGAGCTGGGGGGGTTGAGCAGACTATTAGCTTGTGTAGATCCAGGATCATGGGCCACTTCCCTTTTTCTTGCCTAGTGGCCATTCTGCTTTCTGTCTGTTGTGCTGCCCTTTCTTGGGCAGGGGGTGTGCAGAGCAGGTATCTACAGCATCGTGATCAAAAGCTTGTGCCCCATATGCAGACTGCCTTGACTAGAATCCCTCCTACCACCGATTAGCTGTGGAACTTGGAGAATTTGTATGATGTCTCTATGCTTTGGTTTCCTCACACGTAAAATGGAGATAATTTCATTTTTTTGCTGTTACCATGAGAAAATACTTGCCAAGCACTTGGCCCATTCCTGGCACACAGTAAGTGTTCAGTAATGTTGACCATTCTTTTATTACCAGTTCATAAGTGGTGCTGCATTCTTTGAAATATCTTTGGGTTTTGTTAAAATAATGAAACAGCTTGGGACATGTACATGCAATTGAATATGAAAATTCATTCCTCTGTCCCCAAAGTCATCTCAGACTTAGGTGTTGTTTCCTGGGATTTGTTCTTTATCTGAAAGGGAGTCTAGGGCAATATGGGCACATGAAATTGATTTTTTTTTTACAGCAGTTAACTCATTTGAACATTGTCCGGAAGGAACACAAGTTAGAAACTCAAAGATGGAAATTACATGTCAGGTAAATTGGTATTTAGTTGGTGCTGCTCTGTTTCTGCATAAGGCAGTCTCGTCTGATGGAAATTCATCCATCTAGTGGCTTCTTTACTTGCTGTGCTGGAAGTATGGTCCTGAGCAATATACACAGAGCCTGTGTGCATAGACCTTGCTGCCTAGGGAATAAGACACTTGCAGACAAGGTGTTCCAGAGAAGGGGCAGATAGGTGATGTGCTAGAGTGACCTGAGGGGACATTTGGCAATGAGTGGAGACATCTTCAGTTGTCACAGCTAGAGAGGGAGGCTACTGATAGCTAGTGAATAGAGGCCAGGGGTGCTGCTAAATATTGTGTTATGCCCAAGAATCATCCCCTGACAATCAAAGCAGAGGATTATTGGGCTTTAAATGTCAGGAGGGCCTAGGTTGGGAAACTCTGCTGTAGGTGGTCAGAGAAGCCTCAAACAGGAGGGAACACTTGGGAGAAAGAACTGTCCATGGGAAAATTTGTGGGAGGAGGGTTGTGGGAAGAGGAACTAGCAAGAACAAAGTCCTTGAGACAAGGGTAGAGTTGGCTGAAAGAGGAACAGAGAACAGAGAAAAGAGTGTTATGGTACCGTGGGTAAACCATGTAGGGCTTTGTGCCTGCTGTAGGAGTTATTCAGGTCATTCAGTGGACTTTTGCATTACTATGAGAGTTTAGGCATTGTTGATTATTTAGAATTTTTCCCTTTGGTTTTTATCTTCTACAGAATTACGGCCTTGAAACTGATAATATGAAGAACTTGGTTCTGAAACTGCGAGCATCTTCCCACAACTTACACAATTACATAAGTAGCCGGAGAAGAAGTGCAGCTTATGACGGGAACACCTCCCACAAGCCGCCCAACGAGTTCCTAACCTCCGTGGTGGAGCTCATTGGTGCTGCCAAGGCCTTGCTGGCGTGGCTGGACCGGTGAGTTACGGGCATGCTTTACTGTCCTGGCCAGGAGGGCCTGCAGTGCAGAGAGGTCGGTTCTCTGCTCAGGAGATGAACCGTTGTCCCCTCCATGCCCTTCGTCCCACCCGACTACTCCCGGAGTTCTGGCTCAGCGGTACATTTTAGGGTCCCTTTGAAAGTTGCTGAAAAGGTGAACAGCAGGAACCACTGAACCCCTGCTTAGGGAGAGAGAAACGGTGCTGCAGCTGTTTCACTGAGGTTAAACATTAACAATGACTTGGTTGGTTATACAGGCTGTTAGTGGATTTCTGAAGGGACGTTAATTCTCTCAGCTCATTTTTGATGTGTTTTTATCTAGCACTTTGCTGTCTTTTTTTCAGATTCCTATTTTGTGTGTTCCTTGACAGGAAAGAGTTGCATAACAATATCGTAAAACAGCCTGTGTGTAGCTCTGTAGCTCTGTGTGTCGGCAGTGTGGCATCCCAGGGACTCCTCCCCTTTTTCTAAAAGAGAATTTTTGTTGCTTTCTAGGGCTCCCCTTACAGGGGTCACTGATTGCTCAGTCACGAAGAACGAAGTCATCCAGCTTTGCCTGGACCTGACCACTACAGTCCGGAAGGTCGGTGCTTCCCTGCTGTCCCCTGCGACCCTCCCTCCCTTTCTCTAAGGGTTTGTGCTTAGATCTGAGGTACCAGTCTCTCTCTTTCTCTCTCTCCATTTTTTTTTTTCATCAGAAATGGGGAGAGATGAAAGCCTTTAAATTAGATGTACAGATGCTTTCTGAAAATTGACCAGTGGCCTTTAAATCAAAGATGAACTTCTTTTGTTTCAAAATAGGTGAGCATCTGGACTTTCTCTAAAATGTTCAAGCACTTAATTGTTTTTAATAGTAATTCTGGAGTAACTAAGTTACGTGAAGCTAAGGCCGGTACAGAAGTATCGAGCGTGGCCTCGGGTTGTAGACATGTGGCTGGAGTAAGCCTCCTTGAGAAGGTCACATTTGAGGAATCTGACCAGTGAATTCTGTGCTTGTCTGCATGGAATGGGTTTTTTATATCCTCTCAGGTGGGGTTTTTCCTTACAGTCACAGAGGTATTGAGTGCTGTGAACTGATGATTGAAATGTCTCCCCATGGGAGGTAAACCTTGATCTGGCCATCGGGAGAAGGGTGCCTGCTGAGCATCCTCTTCAAGCTTGCCCCTCCTGATTTGGGCCTCACAGTTCCTGGCACATCATTAATGGGAATTTTTAAGTATGTGTTTAAATGAGTGATAATGCTCTGGATGAATAAGCTGTGGGAATTTGTCTTCTATCAGGAGAAATTTAACCCAAATTTCAGGGACACAAGAGTGCTGTTTTTGTCTGTGTTTCTGTGTTCCCTCTGGTCCTTTTTGAGCATGTGTTTTGGAGACAGCTAGCCATAAATTCCAATCCTACTTCTACCATTAATTAGCCTTGGGACCTTGGACAAGTCGCTTAAAACTCATGAGCCTCTATTTTCTCGTCTGTAAAATGGGAACACTAAAGTTTCCCTTATGAGATGACTTTCAAGCATTTCTTTAAGTTATTGTTGAGAAAGAAAAAAAGAAAAAAGTAATATGGGGACAAATGGTGAGTACAAAGATGTATGTATGTATGTGTTTGTAGTACACAGATATCCAAAAACCTATATGCAGAGGATTGTATAAATAGTGGGCAATTTAGAAGGAAAGTTGGGTTTACTTTGGCAGGGGGAGAAGTGGGGAGGGAACATAGGAGCCAAGCTTCTCCAACCAAAAACAAAGAAAAATGTTTTTTCATTTACAGAAAGCATGTATATGACCACATTTATGTATTCATGTAAAATTGGATACAGAGATATTATATAAAATATTAAAAATATACCTATCTCAAAAGATTCTTAGGAATATTAAGTGAGATGTATCATATGTAAAACTCAGCATCCACTTAAGAAATTAGGGCCTGTAGTAGGAAATATAAAAATCCTGCCTTGTACTGGGTTTCTGGAACCAAACTTGATGGTTTAAGATGGAGAGGAAGTTTAAAGATACGTTATTCTTCTATTCTGGCATTTTTTACTTAAATTCGAACAATTTTTAAGTATTAAGAGTGGCAATATGTAAATATACATGGGAATATCGTTTTATCAAGTTTGAAAAAATTGTTCAGCTCTTGTGAACGTATGTTTCCTCTAGTAACTGGAGAACATAGGTGCTTTGGCAAGTGCTAATATTTGTGTGCACACACGTTGGAAATAACAAACTTGATGAATGAGTTGAGTTGAGTCTTTTTCAATAGGCACTGTAATAGCAGCAGCAGAGCTCATGAGCCAGAAGATTTCACACTCTTGCAGCCCAGTGAAGTTGTATTTCTCTAAACCTCTTGGCAGAAGATCTGTTGACGTTTGGAGAGGAAACCCGTCTTTTCCGTACATTGCTCTTGAACTGGGGAATTGAAGGAAGCAAAGTTGTATCTTTCTTCCCAGTGACAGGGAGCATGTTCTGCTTCAGTCTTTATTGTGTGTGTGTCCGTCTGTGAGGAGACACATTTGCTGCTCCCATTTCTCCTCTCTCTCGTCCACCTATTGCCATTTCCCCCATGCCTTCCTTATCACTTTGCATCCTTCCCTCAAATCATGCTGTATAATCTCCTCATGTGAAAGGTTAATAGTTGCTGTTTTTTCCCCCTGTAAGGAAACTGCGCACTTTTTTTTAAAGCATGCTTCAGCAGGGTCCCATAGCAAATCCCTGGAGGGATCTTTCATCTAGCTTTCAGGCTTATAATTTCAGCTGAAGGAAACTGAGGTGAGAAAGGGGTATGATCTCTATCTTCACTCTGTCTTCCCAACATTGTGATAACATGAAGGCTGGAACCGCAATGGGAGGGCATGAGAAATGACAGTGGCCGGTGTTGCGTTCCACTGTGGAAGGAAATGAGCAACATGATGTCCAGCAAACTGAACAGAAGGATTCCACATGAAAGAAGATGAGGAAAAAGCCATGAGATTATTTATTGAGCATAGTTGTGTGTCAGGTATGAACTACATTCTTGACATATGTCACCCCATTTAATTCTCTAAAGTTCTCTAGTATAGGATTATCATCCCCACTCTACAGAGATGGAAACTGAAGGCATGGAGAGGGCAAACCCATCACCCAAGGCAGGAGGGTAGTGAGAAGGAAGAGAGGCCGAGGGAAGGGGCACCTGCTGCCGGCCCTGGCTGGTTCTGGGCCAGGTAGGCCGGCCCGAGTCCGCTGATTCAGGTAGACAAGGAACGTGACACAGCTCAGCAACACTGTCTGGCTCATGACAGGGTGACTTGGTCCCAGAACTTCTTTTTTTCCATTCCATTGCCTTCATGTTAAACAATGTGAAGTCATGCCTGCAGCTGCTTCCTCCCAGGGGGAATGGGTGTGGGAACCACATTCACGGAAGCGGAAGGTAAAGCCCTTTCACAGGCTGACGTGAACACTTCGGGGAGACAGGAGACGACCTCTTGTCCATTGGCTCTACCACCACAGGGAGTCCACTTTCTCCACGGCTTCTTGCATCCGTCAAGCAATCAAGTATCAGACACCATAAGGTCACACCTCCACCTTGCATCTCCGGCCCCACCAGTGGGTGATGATCTCACAGACATGCCAGCACTCATGACATTTTGAGATGGTAATGAAAAACTTTAAACATAAAGTATTTGTTTTATGTCTTGCACAAGACCACATAAATATTGTGTCTTGCTAACATTGGCATTTATTTGATAATTCTGTCTTTCAGAAGGTGTAATAAAGGAAGGACCACTGTGGTCGTTGATAGTTTAGTTCCATGCATGGGAGGGAGGAGGAGAAACACACTTTTGAGAGTAATTATTCATATTTTACCAACGTTGCTCCTGTAGTTTGAATGTATATCAGTTTCATGCATGTAAAAATACATTTCTAAATTTCTTGAGTATTTTCTTATTTGGCTGCTCTTTTCTTGAGAGTCGGTGTAAATTATTTTCTACATTTTTATTTACTAGAGGAAACTAAAAAAATTTTAATAAGTAGACACTGAAAAACAGATTATAAAACCACATAGGGTAGAATGTTTCTACCCCCACCTCCAGTGGCAATAAAAAAATGACCTAAAATGACCTTTTGATTGGAGTGACAATCTTTGTCTGACAATTCCAAAGGAGATGGATCAGTAGCCTTCATGTACATTAAAAAATGAGCATTCTCCTTAGCATATCTCAGTTTGGGATTATACTTAATGGTGCTAAATAAACTCTAAAGCATCTGGTTGGTCACCCTTTTCTTCATATATTCTGCCGTGTAGTTTGTAATCTTCTGCTGTAGACAAGTTCTAGAAGGTCAACTGTGAGATTTTCATACTGGTGGTTTCACTGTGGTCACTCTTTAGACAGGATAATAGTGATTCCTGTAATCAACTTCCTGGGTTCATACAGTTCCAAGTCTTTTGTTCTTAAGCTGAGTAAATGTAATGCTTTGCATTCCAGCTCTTTATTTAATGTCACCAATAGCATACCTCAAGACCACTTTTTGGCAGTGTGTTAATGAATGTTTTATTGAACCTTTTTCATCTATTAAGGGCTGAAATATCTTATTTAATCTTAGTGGTGCTTAAAATAAACTTTTGTGGCTAAGTTTACCCAAGCCCTTGTGTGAAAGCTATTCTTCTGGGCAGGCCCAGAGCTACAAGACTCCTGGCATGCTGGCCCAGTGCTAGCTGAGCCCAGGGTCACATTTGAGAGCCACTGCAGGTTTCTTGGACTTTGACGTCTGGCTCACTACTCCCTGCATTGTCTGGGTGGTAGGTGGATTTCAGTTCAATGATTTGTGTAGGTTTTCTTGCTTACATAATAGGTCAAATGGGTTCCTTGGATGATAAAGCCCTTGGGTCAGGAGAGAGCTGAGCTTTAGGAGGAGTTTAGTGACAGCTTTCCTACTCTGCCTTCTCCCTCCCCAGTCCAGGCTTCTCTTCCCGACCTTCCAGGACTGCAGGCTGCAGGTCGGGGTGTGTCAGGGACCATGTTGGGCTCCAGTAAATATCTGGAGAGTGAAGCCAGTGATTTTTGAAAGTGTTTAGCTCTTACAGTTTTCATTTTCTTCTTCCCTTCTTTAGGATTGCCTTGTAGCAGAAATGGAGGACAAAGTTTTAACCATAGTAAGTATATGTCCTAAAAGTTATTGTGAAATTCCTTTTCCCAAAAGAAAAATCTGCTTAAATAAAGTAAATTCATGTGGCTAATGACTTCAGGGTATACTGTGAAATATTAGCTTTTGGGGCATAAGTCCATTCATTTAGGTAGAATGTGAAGAATAAAAGTTATTTGACATCAACAAAATGACTACTGTGAAAATTCCTGTGCTTAAATTAGATAATTGTTTTGCTTTGTTTTTGTTTTTTTTTAACTCTGAACATTTCATCAGGATATCATTATACTTCAATTGCTGGCTAGTCTGTTAATCAGCATTAAACTCATCTGCAGATTTCACTTTAGGACTGTTTTGGTAAAAAAAAAAATTCTTGGCCAAGTGCTTATGATGGAGGGGGGATGTTCTGTGACTGTTTAAGGAGCATTTTGTAACTATTCATCATCACTTCCTCCTTTTGACATAAACCAGCCTGTGCTCTTTTGATAAGGCCTTCCTCCTACTGATGTTGAGGAATTTAGCAATGAAACTGCTATAAATATGTTTTCCATAAATAGGGAGGCTAAACAAATTGGAGGAATGTATAAAGTGTCACTTCTGGGATTCTCCCCCTTGGAAAAAAAAAATCACCCATTGGAATTTCCTGATTTCTTTGGTTTAATTTGGAAAGGTTAGATGAATTTGATTGGGGAAAATAGCAAGACATACTTGCTGTGATTTCTACAAGGAGACCACTTAATAGGGATCCTCACATCTCTAAAAGTTTATCTTGTCAGTGTTTGGTGTTGAGAGAACGTGAGCCATCACCAAAAGGATCATAAACCTAAATGTAAAACACAGAACATGAAACTCCTAGAAAAAACAGGAGAAAATCTAGGTGATCTTGGGCTTGTCAATTACTTATTCGATACAAAACCAGAAGCGTGACCCAAGAAAGAACAACTGATAAGCTACACTTCATTAAAATGAATATGCTGCTCCGTGGAGTGCGCTCTGAGGGGAAGGAAAATATAAGCCACAGACAGGGAGAAAATATTTTCAAAACACCTATCAGATAAAGAACTTGTATCCAAAATATACAGAGGACTCTTAATTATGAGAAAACAACTCATTTAAAAAGCAGGCAAAGATCTAAACAGATACTTCACTAAAAAAGATATACAACTGTCAAATAAGTATATGAAAAGATGGTCAGCATCATATGTCATCAGGGAAATGCAAATTAAAACAACACTGAGCTACCACTGCACACCTATTAGGATAACTAAAATCCAAAACATGACAACAACAAATGCTGGCAAAGATGTGGGGCAGTAGGAGCTCTTGTTTGTTGCTGCCAGGAATGTAAAATGGTACAGCTGCTTTGGAAGACAATGTCAGTTTCTTACAAAACTAACCATTGTCCTACTCTACGATCCAGCAGTTGCAATCTGAAGTACTTACCCAAGTGAATTAAAAACTTATATCCGCAAAAAACCTGCCTAGAATGTTATAGCAGCTTTATTCATAATTGCCAAAACTTGGAAGCAACCAAGATGACCTACATTAGGTTACTGGATAAATAAACTGGTCGATCCAGACAATGGAATTTTATTCAGTAATAAAAGGAAATAAGCTATCAAACCATGAAAAGATAGGGAGGAATCTTAAATACATATTACTTAGTGAAAGAAGCCAATCTGAAAAGGCTATATACAGTATGATTCCAACTCTGTGACATCTGGAAAAGGCAAACCCATGGAGGCAGTAAAAAGATAAGTGGGTGCCAGGGGTTTATAGTGGGGGTGGGGAGAGATGACTAGGTGGGGCCCAGGAATTTTTCAGCAGTGCAGCTCTTCTGTGTGATGGTGTATACACTGTGATGGTGGATACATGACATTATGCATTTGTTAAAACCCATAGAACTGCACACCCAAAGAATGCACCTTAATGTAAACTGTGGCCTTTTGTTAATAATAAAGTATCAACACTGGTTCACCAGCTGTAACCAATGTACCACACTAATGCAAGATATTAATAATATCTTATTAGTAACTGGGTTGGAATCCTGTAACAGCATTGGAAATTGTGTTGGGATGGGGAAGGTTGTATAGAGGAACTCTGCACTATCTGCTCAATTTTTCTGAAAACATAAAAGTGTTCTAAAAAACCTAAATGTAAAACACAGAACATGAAACTCCTAGAAAAAACAGGAGAAAATCTAGGTGATCTTGGGCTTGTCAATTACTTATTCGATACAAAACCAGAAGCGTGACCCAAGAAAGAACAACTGATAAGCTACACTTCATTAAAATGAATATGCTGCTCCGTGGAGTGCGCTCTGAGGGGAAGGAAAATATAAGCCACAGACAGGGAGAAAATATTTTCAAAACACCTATCAGATAAAGAACTTGTATCCAAAATATACAGAGGACTCTTAATTATGAGAAAACAACTCATTTAAAAAGCAGGCAAAGATCTAAACAGATACTTCACTAAAAAAGATATACAACTGTCAAATAAGTATATGAAAAGATGGTCAGCATCATATGTCATCAGGGAAATGCAAATTAAAACAACACTGAGCTACCACTGCACACCTATTAGGATAACTAAAATCCAAAACATGACAACAACAAATGCTGGCAAAGATGTGGGGCAGTAGGAGCTCTTGTTTGTTGCTGCCAGGAATGTAAAATGGTACAGCTGCTTTGGAAGACAATGTCAGTTTCTTACAAAACTAACCATTGTCCTACTCTACGATCCAGCAGTTGCAATCTGAAGTACTTACCCAAGTGAATTAAAAACTTATATCCGCAAAAAACCTGCCTAGAATGTTATAGCAGCTTTATTCATAATTGCCAAAACTTGGAAGCAACCAAGATGACCTACATTAGGTTACTGGATAAATAAACTGGTCGATCCAGACAATGGAATTTTATTCAGTAATAAAAGGAAATAAGCTATCAAACCATGAAAAGATAGGGAGGAATCTTAAATACATATTACTTAGTGAAAGAAGCCAATCTGAAAAGGCTATATACAGTATGATTCCAACTCTGTGACATCTGGAAAAGGCAAACCCATGGAGGCAGTAAAAAGATAAGTGGGTGCCAGGGGTTTATAGTAGGGGTGGGGAGAGATGACTAGGTGGGGCCCAGGAATTTTTCAGCAGTGCAGCTCTTCTGTGTGATGGTGTATACACTGTAATAGTGGATACATGACATTATGCATTTGTTAAAACCCATAGAACTGCACACCCAAAGAATGCACCTTAATGTAAACTGTGGCCTTTTGTTAATAATAAAGTATCAACACTGGTTCACCAGCTGTAACCAATGTACCACACTAATGCAAGATATTAATAATATCTTATTAGTAACTGGGTTGGAATCCTGTAACAGCATTGGAAATTGTGTTGGGGTGGGGAAGGTTGTATAGAGGAACTCTGCACTATCTGCTCAATTTTTCTGAAAACATAAAAGTGTTCTAAAAAATAAAATCTATTTTAAAAAAAAAGGTCCAGGCAATTTTTTTTTAAATGTCGTCAGTAGTTGGTATGCACAGACTGTGAGTAATCACTAAAAAAAGATGTAGATGGTGGGGAATAGATGATTCTCTCTAACTGCTAAAGGAGGGTTTCTACCTGTCCTCTTCAGTGGCCATAATCGTGTTTGTGTAAGAGCTGCCCTTTTTAAACAAAGCTGACACTGTGACACCATTCCAACAGATTGCAAATACAGAGTCCACATGCCAAATCACTGAGTAGTATTAGCAAAAAGATTTCAGATCAGAGCTTAAGAGTGAAGGTGAAGCACATTTCTTTCAAATTCAGATTGCGATAAACTTGGTTAATGATTGACCTTTTCCTATTTGCCTCTCCAACTCTAGGTCAAGGTTTTAAATGGCATCTGTGACAAAACAATCCGATCTGCTACAGACCCTGTTATGAGCCAGTGTGCATGTCTGGAAGAAGTTCACTTACCAAACATTAAACCCGGGGAAGGACTGGTAAGAATTCTAACATGTGTTTTATTTTCTAATAAAACCACAACATTATTTATTAAAGTTTTTAGAAAGGAATCCCTTATTGCTTTCATTATATTTCTGAATAGAATTAGACTGTCTTCCATCATGTAGATAGGAATTTGCTATCTTGAACTGTTGATATGTTTTGTGTCTTAAGAGTATAAAAATAAATACAATTTAAAAACTGTATTCTCCTATCTTGAAGGAATTGTCTGAACAGTTTTATTTTTAGGGCTTAGCAGTGCATGGAGATATAAAACATTTACACCAAGGAAAGATGGTCTGTGGGTACAACACATCTGTTCCGAAAGTCTCTATTAGCACTTAGGTGGAAAGTGAAAAAAAGGTTGGCTGAAAAAATGGTTCTTACAAAAAGTTCGGAAATGTTTCATGAGTAGTGTATGAGCTCTATACTAACAGACCCTGAGAATACAGACAGGTAGATGGCTGGCTGCCTAGATCAGTGCCTAGATCTCCCAGTGCCCAGCATGCATCTGATGGGATTTGAGCGAAGAGACCGTGAGGCCGACTGAAGAGTTTAGAGGCTTCGAGTCAGAGACAGGATCGGAATCCCAGCTCTCAAGTGACATAAACTCTTCCTGTGTCACAAGGGAATGATAATAGCAACTGCCTCACGGGGTTGTGGAGGGTATTGAGTTAGGTGATAGATGCTGAGCGCCAGACGCTGGACGTGCAGTGCGTGCGCAGTGATTGGTGGCTGCAGCTCCGGTGCTGGTGTTGGTGATGATGAGAAGGAGCAGGAGCAGGAGCAGGAGCAGTGGGGCGTGTTAGGTTGCTGTTGGGAGATAGCAAGGCCGTCTCTGCTTCCAGACCGGAAAACAAAAAAAAATCAACCCAATGTTGACAAGCCCGCATTCTTAATAAGTAGACATATGCATGCTGAGACTGCCTGGCCTCAAAGTGAATGATGGATTGTAATAGATGAGGCGGGGAAGACTTCCTGGGGATGAGTTTATAGTCACGTACTGAAGCAGAGAAATGCCTGGAGTGAGCAGAGTCAGAGTTGCTATTTCAGACGGCAGAGTCACACAGACAAATGCTCTGGGAAGAGGAGTCCCAGGCAGGGAGAAGCCGGGTCCTGCGATGAAAGTAATGGGAACGGAGTGGAACGGGGGAGCCTTGAAGGTGTTGGTATCAGATGGGATTCTCGTTCTGTAGTGCTCTAAGTTACTGAGAAGGGCCAGTTCAGGGCTAAAATGATTTCTGAGGAGGATCTGCAGTGTAGCAACTGTTCTTTGCCCAGTCTACTTTTTGCTCTTTCCCCTCATCTTACAAAAAGTCGATAAAAATTTTTCAGACATGATAGGTCAACCTGCAGAGTGGGTCAGTCTGCAGAGATGTTTCCTTGATGGTATGGCATCCACTTCCGAGTTTGCCTGTGAGGCCTACTGGGCAGGAGCATATTTATGCTTCCCTTGCAGTGGAAAGGTGCCTCTGTGTAATTTACTTTCTAGGTTGTGTTATTCAGCAGTGTTCACTTGTACTTGTCTGGGTTGTTGAATATGTTGCCCCACAAAGACTGCTGATGCCGCATTTAACTGTATATATTGTGTCACTAGATAAAGCGAATGGTCAGGACAGAGAACAGTCCTTGTTTGAAATGCCTTATTCATTCTGCAGGTCTGAGAAGATGCCTTCTGAGTCCCCAGGGTTATGGCGAAATTCTCTGTGCCCGGCACACAAATGACAGTGTCAAAGAGATCTCCTTTCTGATTTCTTTCACTAGTATTTTGATTTGTTTGGTTCCCCTTCACTGCTCGTTGGATCTTGTTTCACGGTGTTTCAGGAGGCTTAAAAATGAGTATTGTTCTGAAGGGCCTGCCTTTAATCTTTTATAAGTTTAAGTTTTGCCTATGGCTCTATTTCTAAATGTTGGAGTAATGAGTTAATATATTTGTGACTCACTCTAGGGCATGTACATCAAATCAACCTATGATGGATTGCATGTGATCACTGGAACCACAGAAAATGTAAGTGCATATCCATTAAATGTAAAAGCAATTGTATTTTTAAATAAATTTGATGCACAGTCTCTATACTTTTCATTTAAATATGTGCGTGCTGTTTTATTATCAGTAAGGGAATATGGGCACCTGTTTTGTTTATTTCTGTTGCTGGTGCTTGACTTATCACCAGCTGCTACCAATTTATTATTTAAATTCTTCCTTATTGCTCTTGTTCACCCACCTTGCCTTTTTTTTACCCTCACCCTTATGTTAATTATTCCTTTTGTACCCTGGAAGTGTTAATCCATAAATACAAAAACAATGATCTCTTTGTTGTTGAGAACTGGGATTGGTAGACATTTGTGTAAAATATACACATTTTTGTTTAATGGAATTTATATGTCACCAAAGCCACTATTTGTGGATTTTTGCATGACATATTCTTTTTTATAGATTTGTATTTCATAATATTTGGCATAATATTGAAGTTTATTTTTTCCTGTAATCCTTTGACTAGAAAAAGCAGACCAGTTTCTTTTGGAAGGAACTGTACACTGTTATCTTCCTTTTGAAAATTCTGCTGCACAAAAGGTTTTTCTTTAGCCCTCAAATTGTGAATTTGTAAAAAGTAGAACTAATTGAATGCTTTCTGCAACCGGCAAGATGGCCAGTTTTTGAATGACATTGATATTAACCTAAAAAATGTTTGAATAGCTCCCTCGGTCTCTGTAAAAGCAGCCCATGTCTACCACTTTAATCTATTATTTAGTCAACTAAGACAAGAGGAAATAATTCCTAAAAATAGAAGAAATGTGTTAACTACTTTTCAAATCTGGTGGAGATATGTGTTGCATTTTGAGCTTCAGCTGCTAGGTCTTTTGATACAATAACATGACATGATCTTTGATGAGGTTTGTGACACACATGTGATTTTTATAGTAAGAAAAAAAGGCAGTCAACAAATTAGAAATAAATTGTGTGTTTCTGGCAGAAGAGGAGAGAAGATGGTTTTGTCTTTAAGCATTCCTTTGTGCTATGATAAGAATACATGGAGAACCACTGGGGATTTTTTATCATATCACTTGCTAGGCAGTAACAGCATAGGAAGCTCTGTTTTTGTGCTGGGGATGGTGTAAAGGAAAAAAAAAAAAGGTAATACATTGCATGGATCATCTTTTATCTGTGTCAGCAGAACCAGACGAACATGGCTTGTGTACCTCTTGGCACGTTGTCTGGAGTTGGATAGATTCAGAAGGATGGTGAATGTCATTTCAGCTTTTAAAGAGTTGAAGTTTTGCATGTAACAAGTTGGTGATTGAATTTTAACGACCAGACCAGACTCTCTCTGGTCTTCTCGAAGCAATTTCAATCTTGGATTAATGTGTAAAGCACTGTAATATTGCTATCAGATGATTTCCTCTCTTCAGCCCCAACCCCTTTTGTTCTAAAGTTGAGGATTGAATGAGAGACTCAATAAGTTGCTTTTGAATCAGATGAAGTGTATGGATACATTTCCTACAATTCCTACCAGCCTCAGAAAACTGGGTGAGAGATTCAGGGTTTACCTGGGCATGGCCTGTCCTGGGGCTCCTATGCAGGACTGTACATACATCTTTCAAGAAAGAAGTGGTTTCCATCCACCTTGTTAAGGATGAAGAAAAGGAAAACTTGTCTTATTCCATCTGGTAATCCATTTGGAAGTACCATTCATTCTTCCAGTTATTCAGCTTATGTTCATTGAGTACCTGGGATGTGCTAAACACTTGCTAAGTCTTATAGATGAGGGTGGAAGGTTAAGTAGAAGCCACTTCTCAAGGGCTCATTCTGGATGTTTTATACTTAAATGACAGTAGAAAATGCCAGCTCCAGGCAGCTTTCCTGCTATTGCTTAAGATCCCTATGACTCTAGAGACAGAATATTTACTGGAGGCTTGTATGGCGGATGGTGGTAGATGGAAATCAGTCACTGTGTTCCCAAGGGAATTATCTCCAGAGCCCTCCGTCTTGGATTGCAGCCTGAAGCAATGCCAGCAGGCCATCTCAGGCCTCCACTGTGTGTTTTGGAGGTCACCTGAGCAGCCAGGATCATTCCAAGGTCAGACCAAAAGTATCTAGTGCCTCTCTATCTGGCTTCTTTTTGGATGTTGTTCAAGACCTTGACCAGAACCTTGAGAGGATCCCATCTGTACTCTTCTTTCTCACCCCAGAGGTGAGCCTCTGCAGACAGGACGCATCTGCTCCAGGTCCTCACCTTTCTGCATCAAGTCAGAACAAGCATCAGTTTTTAGTCATCTGGGGAAGATAGACAAGAGCTGCTGCCCTCAGGGGCATTTTGGTGCCAAGCTCTCTCTTTACCAGTGTTCTGCCAAGCACAGCTCTTAATCTTGGTGGGACATTTGAGAAATGAATGCATGAGGATCCTTAAGAAGAGAAGTCAATTCGGGACATTGGGGCTTGTGTTTAAGATTGTATATCTGTAAGCAGGGACTTTCTGGCCTCAGGGTCATCTTTTAAACAGTGAAAATTACCTTAAATGAATCCCTAGCCCAGGAAGATTAACTGGACTGGCCTGATTATGCTCAGATTCACCAGAGTTCCTCTGTAACTATGGGTTAAGCATCTGACATGCAGAGGCAGAAGGCAGCTTAGATAATGCAGTCTTTTATTTATTTTTATTTCAGTAAAGTTGATATACAATATTATGTTTATTTCTGACATACAACATAGTGACTCAACAATCGTATGCATTTTTTTTTTTAAGTGCCTCAAGAGAAAGGGATTTGCGAGGCCAGATGACTCTGAGGCCAGGAAGTCCCTGCTTACAGATAGGCAGTCTCCCTGGGGTACCTCTCTCAGGTGCTCTCTCTCAGGTTAGCTGCTGCTGCTTGTCATGGCAGCAGGTTAAATGGTTTTGAAAATAACTCCCAGTTACCTTGCACTGGACTTAGATAAATCAAAGCGAATGTTTCTTTATATTTATTGAAGTATCGTTGATATACAATCTTCTATTGGTTTCAAATGTGCAACCCAGTGATCCAACAGTTACCTATATTATTACACACTCACCCTCTCTAGTGCAGTCACTACCTATCAACGTAGAAAGATATTACAGAATCATTGACTATATTCTCCATGCTGTGCTACCATCCCCAAGACCATCTTATATTTTGATTGCAAATTATTGTGCCCCTTTATCCCCTTCCCTCTCCCCTGCCACCTGTCCCAGCCCCTCCCCCATAGTAACCACTAGTGTGTCTGCTGCTGTTTTGTTCCCTCTGTTTTGCTTTGTTTTTTTATTTCCCGAGTAGGTAGAATCATAGAGAGAATGTTTCTACAGTTGAATGCTGCTTGCTCATTTCTTGTTGAGCCTGTCACAACAGCTGAGTGAGAAAATTCAGTGACTGAGTCTTGGGTTTTGTTGCTGCCCCTTTTCACCGTGTTCAGAGGTGCTGTTTTTTAAGGATAGTTGTAAATTGTTTGAAGATTCAGTGTCGGTTACGTAAGTTACCAAGTAAAACACTCTGGCCTAAGTAATGTTTGATTACAATTTGAAATCAAAGGTTTGTCTTTTCTTTTTACTCTTCTGCTCACATAAGAGATATTAAACCTGTAGAGCTTTAGGTTGATTAAATGAACAAGAGCAAAATATTTGACAAAATTGATTACATCTATCTATCTTTACACACCCATATGTGGATTATATATATTTACCTGTATATATGCATCTATCTGCAAATTTGTAGTCAAGTATTATTTGAGGGAAACAAAGTCTAGACTTTGTTTTGAGACTGAAAATGCACTCATTTTGACTTTGAAAATGGAATAAATTTAAATTTATTTTCTATAAAGAAATACATTTTTTGTTGTCACCATCTGTTTTGATAGCATTTTGATAACATGTAAAACAAGGTTGAGTAAAAATAGGATGCAGCTTTAATAATTGTTTAGGAGGAAATGGGATGACAGAGTTGCCATGATGATCTTTACAGGATAAACAGTTGGTCTGCTTTTACAAGATTCACTTTGATAGGGATATGTATGTAAAGTATTTTTCATAGGAACCAGTGGCTTTTATTAGCTCATCCTGTTGACAGTCTGTTCCAGTCTTCCTGGTAAGATTAGATGAACGCACTTATTCTAATTGACAGCTTATCTATTATAACAGTCTACTAATAAGCTAGATTACACATATGCCAGATTCTACAGACTATGTAGTCCCAGGAACTCAAGGGAATTGTGTAATATTTCTTGAGAAAATTATTTTTCCATCGCTCATCGTCTAATGAAAAAGTAAGAAGAAATAGAAGCATAAAGAAATAGAAGGTTTAAAAAATAAGAGTTCTCTCTGTTTGTTTCTAATAGTCTCCTGCAGACAAATCTCAGAAGATTCATGCTGGTGATGAGGTCATTCAGGTCAATCAGCAAACTGTGGTAAGTTTGTCCATGGAGACTTAAGTCTTACTATTCCCCTGGAAAGCTTTTAACTAAATTCAAAGCTGTTTTGCTTGAATTTGTAAAATTTGCAACTTACATCCAATTGTCCATACTTTTCAGTAGTGCTAAGGTGAACATATTTGTATCTGCCTATTTGTGTCTACTTATTTCCTCACAACTGATTTCCCTGTGATAAAGTCATACATTTGATTTTTCATTATTTATGAGTGAGGCCCCTCATTTTCTTTCTCTGAAGGTGGGATGGCAGCTAAAAAATTTGGTGAGAAAATTGAGAGAGAATCCTACAGGAGTTGTGTTGCTGCTTAAGAAGCGCCCCACGGGTTCTTTCAACTTTACTCCTGCTCCCCTGAAAAACCTACGGTGGAAGCCGCCTCTCGTGCAGGTATCTGATAGTGGTTGGACACCTCCATTTGGCATCAGCCCATGAACAGTGTTGAATATCAGATTTGTCTCCAAAAAGGAAGATTGAAATTTGAAGGTGATTGGTTTCCGGAGTTGGTGTATGCATCATTATCCTATAATCCTACTCTTATGAAAATGTACATTCTAGATGCACACTGAGCAGTATGGCAGCTGCTAGCCATGCGTGATTACTTAAATGATTACATAAATGAGAAGTTTGGCCCCTCCATCTCACTAGCCACATTGCCCAGGCTTGGTAGCCATGGTGGGGTCCCTCTCTCTTCTCATTTGAAGACTAGCATTAGAGAGACCCCATGGCATTGAGTCCTTAGCAGGGCTTTACACAGCAGGAGTAGGGACTGTGGGATAATCCACACAGTGGAGAGCTGTATCACTCCTTGTTGAGACATTTAGAATGGGCACTCTTGGGTGATAATAGACAGGAGGCCAGCTTTTAGTGAGTTTTATTATATAAATGCTCTACAAAAATGCCTGCTTTATTGCTTACACCCAGGTGGACCATGCTTACTGACCCACTGCCTTGTTAAGCTGTTGGTCCTTAGTGTTTATTTCTTAAACCGTGAATGAAAAGCAATGATGTTTTAATGCCCTTTTATAAGATTGAGATTGCAATTTATATGTAACTGCCTATGATTTGATTGCATATCCTCAAATGGAAGGAACAGACGTAGTCTCAAGCCATCAATTGGGACAGTTTCTGAAGCATAGAGCACTGGCAATACTCCTATGTGTATATATGTATATGATACCAAATTTAATGGCATGATAGTGTGTACTTGCTCTGTGGCAAGCAGTGTGCTATGCCCATGTAATGTCCTGTCCTAATTCTCATAGCTACCCTGTGCTGTACTATTCTTACTCCCATTTTGTAGATGGGGCACAGAGAAGCTGAGTGATTTGCCCAGCGATGCACAGCTAATAAGATGTATAGCCAGCAGTGCACCCAGTCTGAGTTCTGAGCCCACACTCTCAGTCGGTGGTAGCACAGTTAGCGATTTGTATGAACTGACTCCTTTCATCCGTACTGCAGCCCTATGTGAGAGGTACTAGGAGCATGGCTGTTTTTCAGAAGAGGAAACTGAGGCACAGGTCTTTAAGTGATTTGCTCAGAGCAAGAATTCTAACCAGGGCACCTGACTCCCGAACCTCTGCTTCTCACTGTGCAGCTGGTCTTTCAAAACTCCAATTAATTCTGAATGCCTTGCAGAAGAATACAAGTTGAATGCTGCTCATAGCTGCAAACACAAGAATGACTGGGCCCCTGTTTACCCAGAGGCTGGAGCTGGACTTGAGAGGAGGAGACGGGTACCAAGAATAATCCCCTTGTTAACTTCATCCTTCTGCACTTGCTCCTGTTTCAGGCCTCGCCGCCACCCACGACGACCCAGTCCCCCGACAGCACTATGGATACCTCGCTGAAGAAGGAGAAGCCAGCCATCCTGGATCTTTACATTCCTCCTCCTCCAGCCGTTCCCTACTCTCCCCGGTACGTCACTGTCTGCTCTCATGATGTGCACGCCTCCTGTGGGTGGCGGTTGTAAGCAGCGGCATACCGACCATGAGGATCTCCAGAGAAGTTGCTCAGCTCCAGGGTGGCAGGGCCGAGTCTTGAAGCTGCTGATAGAGAAAGTGTGATCTGGGTGGGGAGTCGGGGGAATGGGTGAAGGGGGTCAAAAGGTACACACTTCCAAGCGTGGGATAACTGTGTTCTGGGGTTGTCTAGTACAGCACTAGGACTATTTTTTTTGTCTTTGAGAGTAGATCTTAAAAGGTCTCATCACAAGAAAACCATTTGTAACTGTGTGTGGTGATGGATGTCAATGACTGTCGTATCATTTCAAGATAGATGCAAATGTCAAACCATTATATTGTACACCTAAAACTAATGCAATGTTGTATCTTACGAATGCAATTATATCTCAGTAAAATGGGGGGGGCAGTTTGATCCTTTAGGGAGACGTGTAGGGATAGATCCAAGTTTCATGGGTCTTGAAGCCAAACAGTTTGGTGGGAGGAGAGTCTTTACAGAAGTACGTGCTGGTGGGAATACATTGTTTGGCTCCCCCCAGGGCATCTGAAGGGGCTCTCGGGGACCCCAAAGCTGAAGTTTTGTGAACTACAAGGTGAATTCATCTCTGGGGAAGAAGATAATAAATATGTGAGAGATTAATTAAAGTGATAGCTTTAGTTTGCTGAGAGAGATGTGTTCTTCATAGCACTTAACAAACAAAAAGTACCATGTGAATGTAGGTATGGATGTTGTATTTGCACATGTGAGTATATTTATGTGTGTTTGTCCACTATAAATTCTTATATATTGTTGCTCTCTTAATGGCTGTCTTAAGTGTTATATGGTATAATGAGAATGGTCTTGTGAGATGTTACATAGGGATGATTTAGGTATGAAGATTGGCTTATTTACATCAACTTATGTATTTATATACTCTGGTAAAACAAGAGAATCTGGCTCATTTATTCAACATAAATTTACTGAGCATAGGGCCTGAAATACCATCTGACACAAAACAGATGTAGTTCTTGTCCCCAGAGAGGTGCCAGTGTCTTAGTCAACTGTTCAAGAATAAATTGAGAATTATGCAATTATGCTATAATATTTCATAAGACAAAAGTTTGAGATGAACTTAAAGTGATGTTTCACTTGATATTGAAGTTTTTCCTTTTTGTTTTTGTTTTAAGCTAAGCATTTGCTTCTAGTGTGTTTCTTTCCTAGACATAAAGAAGAACTAACATCATTTCCCCACCCTTCACTCTTGATTTGTGCAGAACTTATTACAGCATGTACAACAGTTACCTTTGGTGATCAGAGGCATTTTGGTTGACAGAGAAGACTTTTCCCTGTATTCACAAACCAGAGTCATGCGGCTATAGGGTCTTAAATGTGTTTAAAGTGACAAATAGTTGGTTTGCACATGGAGAACACAGTTTCACTGGTGACCAGTATGTGGTCTGTTCTATCAGAAACCGAGAGGGCCTCCTACCCCCGCACTCTCTAACCTTGAGTGTCTTTGTCTGGGTCCCATGAGGCTGACAGGAGCAGCGGCAAGAAGAAGCCAAGTACTTAGGGAGGGAGAAAGGGAACTGGGCTTTTGATCTACTTGGGGGACACACACGCACACAAGCATATACACACGTGCACACACACACCATTAGTGAAGGATATTTTCTGAGGAATGAAAATGCAAATGCTTGCAGAGAATGAGTGGGGAAGTTATATGCTGGGTTTAAAAGCGGAGGAGAGAGATTCACAGGAGCCAGGGCTCAGCTGGCCACAGGGGTACTCAGGACACCAGCAGCAAGACTGGTAGAGTGTTTTGGTTTCAGTTGATTTTGTATTTGTCTAGTAGTTTTTGCAATGATCACCTAGTGCATTTACTAAGTGCCAAACTTTTAACCAGCTGGTAAGTTGGACTCAGCTAAAATTAAATTTTATTCTAAGCTGACATTTAGAGAGAATTAAGCTGGACTCGGTGATCCAGCTTCTGCTGATTGCTGTGTTTGGTTCAGAAAATAGACACTGTCTATGGGTTGCTATAAAGGCCTCTTTGTATTTTTTGACATAATTTTCAAATCTAAAAACTCCATTGCACATCAAGTGTCTTCTTTGCTGGATCTTGGCAAAGATACGACTCTTGGCAAGAGAAGAATGGCTTGATAGATACCTTAACTTGTAGTTTCTGCAGTAAATAGGAGATTCCATCAGGGGACAGAGGTACAGGGGAACCAGAGCCATCTTTTCAAAGGTATATTTGTAGCATGTAAACATACAGGAAAAACATATGGTAGAAACCAATATTCTGCCCACAAAAATGAGAGACCAAACACCATCTTATGGTACATTTTGAGTGTTTGTTTTATTCTGCCATTTGTTTTATTCATTTTCTCATTTTGTTTTTGCTGTAAGTTAAGCATTTGCTTCTATTGTGTTTCTTCCCTGGACATAAAGAAGAATTAACATCATTTTCTCTTATCTAGTAGGATCATGATATTTATTCTCACTTAGTAGGACCTCTGTATTTGAGAGGCAGCTGGGATTGAGAAAGGAGAAAAGGAGAATTCAACCTCTTTCATGGGTGCTGGACATTGTCTCCTGCAGTTCTCCATTATGAAAGGATCTTTGTAAGTAACTTAATTATTGCCGTTTGTCTTCCAGAGATGAGAGCGGGAGTTTTGTTTATGGAGGATTCAGTAAGTGTAAACAACCACTGCCTCGGCCTAAGGGTTCAGAGTCTCCGAATTCCTTCTTGGACCAGGAAAGCCGAAGACGGAGGTTTACCATCGCCGATTCCGATCAGTTGCCTGGGTATTCGGTAGAAACCAATATTCTGCCCACAAAAATGAGAGACAAAACACCATCTTATGGTACGTTTTGAGTGTTTGTTTTATTCTGCCGTTTGCTTGTGCTTCTCTTCTCCGCCCCCTTCCTTGTTTGGAACGGGTGGATGAACTTGGCAGACTTTAAGGGTAATCTGAGGAAAACATAAACCTCAATGAAATTCTAAGTATGAGACCTTTATTCATCTTTCTAAAATGAAGCCTTGTTGAGTCAGTACTGCCTGGCATCAAAGCCCAGCGGGTGAGATCATGTTACAGTTTTAACTTTCAGCGCCCGTGTTTTAACATGGACTTGCTTTGCTCTGTAGACCCACGGACTTAAGCTCAGCATGCCTCTGTCCTGAGTGCTTGCTAAGGAAACATAGACTCTTCTTATTTTAAAATGTGTTATTGCTGATGCTTAAGTGAGTGTGCTCTTGGGTGTAGTGTCTACGTTATAAGTGGAAGGATTCATTAGCATCCAACACTGACAACCTGTCACCTTCCTTCCCCTCCCTCGGAAGGCAAGCCCCGGCCTTTGTCCATGCCTGCAGATGGGAGCTGGATGGGAATTGTGGACCCTTTTGCCAAACCTCGAGGTCATGGGAGGAAAAGTAAGTTAAGCCAAAAGACCCAGGCCCTGGTGTCAGTCCTATTTCTAAATGTGCCATAGTAACCAGAGAGAGGACCTAGGCTTTCTGAGACCCATCTTCTCATCTATAAAATTGGGAGTGCTGAAGAATCTCTAAGATCCCACTTACATCTGTAATGGCAGAATCATATAATCCTAGTTAGTGACTGTAAATTTCCTAATTAGCATTGTGTGCTTTAAAAAGTCTGTAAACATTGATGGTCCAATTTCTAAAGTAGAAATGCATTTGTTCATTATACAGTCTCATCCTAAACTGTATGACTGTTACTATTGGAGTCTGTTTGACTTTTGGTGAATAGACATGGATTTCCCCCACCTTCCCCAATCCTTCTTGTATTAGAGAGTAATTACTATTGGAAAAGAAATGTGTGTTTAATTCAGCATGTAACCAAAGTTAGTGGTTAGAGGGAAATGTTTATAAATATTCCTATATTTTTGCCAGATGGCATTTGACTATCGCTGCTGGCAGGACATCCTAACGTCACTTTTGCAGTGTGAAGCACAGAGCAGGCACAGAGTTAAAGCACACAGGCCCTAGATAGTAAGAGGAAGAAGATAAAGTTATGGAGGATACTTTCAAAGTGATCAACCCCTGATCTCCCCAGAATTTGGTAAAGATTGTCACCTAGGCAGCCTGAATCACCTGGATCATACTAATTCAGAAAAGGGAGAAGACACTTGTTTAAGGTGCAGGATACCCTTAGTTGACGTGTGAAAATCTGTGGAGCAGTCAGCAGGTGGCAGGGCTGCCCTGTGTTTAGATTTGAAAATGTCAACATCCTCATTGCCATTCTTGTAGCCTTTTAAGCCTTCATTTTGCTCTTTATTTCTTTTAGTATTGAGAGATGGGGTACAGCTGTGGGGAGTATGAAGTCAGAAAAGGGGAACATACTTGACCGCTGGTCTCACCTCCCACATTTTTCTTGCCTGATCATTTTAGAATGAAGGGTATCTGCATAGTGGGTGCTTTAGAAAATAATAGTATATTGAGAAATAGCACACATACCATAAAGCTAACCCTGTTAATATATGGTTCGGTGGTCTTCAGTATTTTCATAGAGTTGTGCAGCCATCACCACTATTCTAATGCCAGACCGTTTTATCCTCTTAGAAAGAAAACTCTGTGAGCAATCGTTCTTCATTCCCTCCTTCAGCTCCTGGAAACCACTAATCCACTTCTGTCTGTATGGATTTGCCTATTTTAGAGATTTCATATAAACAGACTCCTAGAATATGTGGCTTTTTTGACAATGGGGTACCATTTAAAAGTAATTTCTCCCTTTTGATTACAAAAGCAAAATAAGTACATTGAAGAATATCTAGAAGGTACAAGAAATGAAACAACTGTATTCTGCTTCCTCAACCTAGAAATAATCATTCAGAATGTTTTGGGTGTCTTATAGTTGTTCCTAAAGTTGCATATTATGCATTTAGAAAAAATGTGCAAAATGGAAGAAATAGATATACAGTACTACTATGTAAGATGAATGTTATTTAGAACACATGTGTTTTTTGTATTAGTTTCATTAGTAATCTGTTGTATGGATATAGCGCCTATTTATTCAATTTGCTATTGTTGGACATCTGGTTCTGTTTTCTTTCTCCCCAATTGCAAAAAATGCTTCCATAAACTTCTTGAAAAATAGATCTTTGCACATTTTTAGGGGGATTTCTGGGTCTAAAGAATGCTACATGATGCCAAGGTGCTGTGAATTTTGGGTTTCTGTCCAGTTTCTTACCTACCTCCCCATTCCAGAGTGTATGCTGGCATTGAGGGCAGGAGCATTCTTTCTTGTTCAGAAATGTCCCAAGCATCACTGAGCATTAAACTCTTTGAACCCCATCCATGAAAGATGAATAGGGCCTGCTCCTCATTCAGGGTGACTGCCAAAGGTGACCCCATTGTTCTAAATGCCCTTGAGGGGTGCTCCCTGGTAGGAAGCGCCCTTCCAGAGGTGTGGGCTGCATGCTACAGGCACTGAGCAGGACAGAAGGGGAGGAGCGGTGGAGTTGCAAGGCTTTCTCTCTTTGTGTTTTGATTTCAAGGGAAATCATGAGAATTCTTACACTGGGCCAGCAGGGTGGGCGTTCTGCTTTTGCTCTGTCCCTGTGTTGCCTCTCAGGTGGGAAAGCTATGACAGACCTCTTGCGCTTCTGCTTCCTAAACACCCAGCAGGTTAGGCCTGGCTGTCTACAAGGTCTTGTGGCTCATTTCCCGAAGAAAGGCCGCGTGTGGTGCCCCCTGTGAGGGCATCAGAGGTTTGAGCAGGCTGCACACCATTCAGCCGGTGCTATGCTACGTGCGGATGGTTGTTTTAACAAACTTGTGGCATTGTCTGAAAACAGGTGAGGATGCTCTTTGCCGGTATTTCAGTAACGAGCGGATTCCTCCGATCGTCGAAGAAAGCTCGTCTGCCCCATACCGGTTCTCAAGGCCTACAGCGGAGAGGCAGCTGGTGCGAGGCGCGGACTACATCCGAGGGAGCAGGTGCTACATCAGTTCGGATCTCCACAGCAGTGCCACGATTCCCTTCCATGAGGAAGGGGCCAAAAAGAAATCCGTGTCCTCAGCCAAGTCCTCTTCTGCAGAACCATCCCTGCTGGTCAGCTGGCTTACTCGCCTGAAACTGTTGACTCACTGAGCCTGCCTGGCCTGGACCGGACTCCCCCATGTCCCGCTACCAAGTGCCTTGCCCCCTCCATTGACAGTCTGTTCTGATTCTCACCCACAGTATTATGTAGTGATCTTAGGCAATTTTTGTTTTTGGAAAGTCGTATACTGCCTTTCTCGGAATTTGAAGTAATTGGATGGGAACAAATCCAGAGGACAGATGCCGCCTCACTGAGGCGGAAGGAGAGAAATGGGTGAAGTCTGCTTTTCATGCTCCCTTAGAGGCGAACACGGAGACACACTCTACACCAGAGCCTTGGCCAGCAGTTTATGGTCACTATGAGGAACTGGACCGTTGTTCTTTCTGGGGCCGGACTAAAATCAGTGGCTCTGGTCAAACAGATATGTTGGTTTGTGGTCCAATTTATTCACCTGAAAAAGCCAGTGGAGAGAACATTTTTATTTTTATTTTTCAAGCTATATAGCATTTGTAAGTGTGGCAGTTTTGACTCATGTGGCAGGTGTTTGACGGTCTTACAAAGCAGAGGTTTCAGGGCAGGCTTGTTAACCCCCTTTTGTAACAATCTCAGTGTAGGTCAGTTAATACAGAAACACATGAACACATTTAGATAGGGCTTATTACACACAAGAAGTGTATGGTTATTTGTGAAGGGTGTCGTTGTTATTGTTATGTGTTAATGTCTTTAAGGGAAAAGCGGTAAGATTTGCTAACAGCCAAAGTTGTCATTCAGAAAAGTGAAACGACAATACTTAGGTTTATGAGAGATACATCAGTTTGCGTTTTGGCCTGTTTAATGCCTACCTTCCAGAAAAGAACAGAGAGTCCTTCAAAATCGGACCCATTTTGCTAATTAGAAATCTCTTGGAAAGTCTCATGGTCATTAATTTTCACCTAGCATCAGGTATTTTGGAAACGTGTCTCTGGTGGTCACTCTTGTTTAAACTGAATGTATGATATTTTGCTGGATTGGAAAAGTACTATCTTGTTAATTTAAGTGTTTTAAATATAGTTGTATATTTTTCTTACTCTTAGTCACATGTAATCGAGCCCTTTCTGTTTTGCGCCGTACGTGAATGCTGGTGAGACAGAGCGCCCAAAGTGCTTTCAGATTGCTAAGGGATCACCATGGCTGTTGCCGGATGTGATTGTTGAAAGACAAATCCTCCCCAACATTTGGACTAGAAATGGGGCATTGAGGACGTGTGTGCCCGGTAACATACATTTGGGGAATTTTCTGAGGTGTATTTCTAGGCAGAGCTGGTAGCTACTATTCCAAAATATCCTCCCCCCACCCCTAGAATTGTTTTCTTGGCTGAACTGCCTATAATTCAGTGAACTGGAGATTCCTGGGAGTTAGGAAACATCTTCCCTTTAAATGCCTCCAGCGGGCTTAAGGGAACTGGCAACCTTTGTGGCTGAGTGGGACTGAGTTCAGTCAGGCCTTTGTCCACCCACCCTAAGGGAGCAGTAGCCCACCGAGTGTCTCCTGGGGGATGGAAAGGAGTTTGCAAATGGAGAGTGGACAAGGCTGGCCCTGTATAAACCACTGGGTGCTCAACAAGACAATATAAAGGCAGGGAGGCCTGGGACTATGTGCTGGTGATGAGCAGGGAACAATGGAAAAGCAGGGGCTCAGCCCTGGCCCATTTTTCCATATCTTGAGCTGGCTTTATGCCAGAAAGCAGAGCGGTAGCACTTCCTCTCACTGCCTGGATTTAGGAGAGCACTCTTCATGCCGTACAGTCCAGCTAAATAATGAGTTAAATAGCTTCAGAGGTCTGAGCTGCAGGCGAGCCCATTTTCTGTGAAACTGCCACTTGTGATCAAATGACCATCCTCAAAATGAATTTTCAGAAGTCAGTCTTAACTACAGGCAGTGCCCAGCATAAATTCCTACACCAGATTGGTGTGTTTCAGATTCTGCTCCCTGCAGCCGAAAGGAAGGTCATAGAAATTTCTGAGGTTCTAGTCATTCACAGCTTCATTGTTTCGAAATTTGGGGTTTTCTCCTGAATTGTATTTGAGAATTAGATTGCTGCTAAAAAAAGTTTGCACATATCTCTGCTGTTGAGATATACATAAACAACAGGTTAATACTAATTTCTTGGAAGTTAATGGAACTGCTTGCCTCAGTAGTGATCTAGGATTCATAGTGGACAAGTGTTAACCTGTGAAGATACAGAATGACAGACACTACCATACCCAGGGCAACCCCCACCCCTTTTAATAATAAATATTTAATAAGATAACTTCAATCATCAACTGAAAATTGTAGTTGATAAAATGTACCTTCACACATAAAAGCGTCATCCCCATTTACTATTCCTTCATGGAATTAATAGCGAATATAACCGGCCTCTCCACAATCACACATTAATTTAATGTCCTAACTGAAATACAAACAAATATAAGCATATAAATATTTTATACTGAAATAGTTCTTCTAGTTGTAAATACTCTAGCATGATTATATTACAAGAAGTAATAAAATAATGGAACAAGGCACATACTTTGTATCTGTATATAGAACCACCAGGATCCTGGCAGCTACGATCACAGATCAAGGTGGTCTGCCGTGTTGGCATCTCAATACCAGAAATGGGATTCATGTCAGCAATATCAGTATCTAAAGTGTGGCCAATTGTTGATAAAATGAGTCTATAATAGCTCTACAAATATAGTGCTTCCTGTGTGCTTGGCATTGCTCTAAACACCAACAACTTGACGAAGTGGGTGCCACCCTTACTCCCATTTTCTACACAAGGGAGTCATGCAGGGGTTTGCAGCTTGCAACGGAAGAGCTGGAGTTACACTGAAGCAGGTGAGCTCTGCATCCTTTGCTCATAACAGCTTTGCTCTCCTGGTTTCCTTCAGTGTATAGAGGGTTCTAATTGCATTTGTGAAAATTCCAACATGTATTAAAACTGGGCTAAAACTTTCCTGTGTGCATAGATATAAATTAGATTATAGACTCATAATTCTAAACTGGGTTCCATCGACATGAATATGTGGTGGGCAATTGAAAGTCGTGCTGCTGGGGGGAGGGGGGTTCTCTGTAGTGGGGGCGTCTAGCCCCCAGGGCTTGTATGGCATCCAGGCTTCACCTGTTGAATGCTGCTTGTGGCCTCTCTTCCTGGCGGTGCCTCACATTTCCCAGCTGCCTCCATTGGGGGTACCATCCTTTGGCAAACAAAGAATTTGAAGGAAACCCTGTATCATCATTAAGTAGCGTTTCTGTCTACCTGTCATGTGTTTGTTCTCTCCCTGCTTCTCTGTCCTCAGTTCTCTCCCCACCAAACCTCAAGTTTTAGAATCAGTTTTATGAAGGTTGTTTTCAGTTTTGTTTTTCCCCTCTAAAAGCCAAACAGTTCTTGCCTCCTCTGGCCCAAAGATGATGAATATTCCCAAGTTCAGTTTGTTAGTCCTCAGAAAGCCCTAAGAGGTACTTACATATAACTTTTCATCCCCTAAGGAGCTCAAGTAAGTTAATCTCTTTGACATTTGAATATTCTCAGTGAAGAATAAACCCCATCGTGTTGCTTTGTGGCCACTACAGGCATAATCGCAAAGGCCTAATTTGGATGTTTCCATGTATATGTGACTGATCCCTATAGACAGGTGGCTCACATTTGTGCTCCCACCCTTGTAAATGAATTACTACACAATTTCTTTGGGATGAGACTACTCCAAGCTACTTCCCTGGAGATTACTTGGCAGGTGGACATCTCGAAATGAAATAAACTGCTTCTGGTATGGCCACTTTCTGACTTGGCCAATGACATTTGACTTTATTCATTTTTGGAATTACTCTGCTTGCATATTTTTTTTTATACATTCATGTTAATCATCTGGAAGGTGAGTATTTAAAAATCTATTGATTAAAAACTGGCTTAAAGAATACACAAATTTGAACTTTCTGTTGTTTCTTCAATTATGTGGAAGGCCTTGTATGATGAATCAAGCTGAGGTCCATAGACGTATTTGGGGATACCTAAAGGGACTTTAAAAATAGGTCTTATAGCCTATAGGATATTGGATTGGACAAAATATTAATCTTCATATTATAAAATTTACCTTATAATTTTCTGGAAATTTCTCAACTGCTAAATTTTGCCTTGGGAATTTTTATTTTTGGCCAGAACTATTGCTAGAAGTAAGTTGATTTGACAAAGATTTGACTAATGTGAGACTTAACATAAGTAAAGGATAAAAGAATCAAGTTCAGATTTCCTAGAGGGCTATGTTTTTCTAGTTTTAGGGAAGTGAGGTCTGCCCTAAACCCTGTGTATGTGTATAGAAGCGAATTTTTTCCTACAGCAAAAGTCCTTCTACAATAATGACTTATGGTTTACTGATTTGGAAAGAGAAAAGAGAAGATTTTGTCTATAATCAACAAAATGTCACTTAGCCAGGAGGCGGTCACACACTCTTTCAGAACCTCTGGGGCACCAAATAGAAATGCCTGTGGTGTTGGGTTAGTAAGGACAAGATTCTGGTTGTGACCTGATAATCTCGGGGTATGTTCCAAAATGCTGTGGCCCTGCTTATGAAGCTCATCTTCTGAGTTGAACGACTGTTCATATGCTGCCAGTTTACAGCAGACCTCAGGGATTAAAACATGAGGCTACCACTAAACAAGGGGGGTTTTCATCCTACGTTTTCTCTTAGATCCCGCTGACCTCTCGAGTCACTGCGTGAGAAGACACTCCACAGTCTAACATTTGTGTCGTGCTAGCAGCCAAATATTACACATGCTTTTCTTCTGTACTAATCATCAGGTTTCTCTGAAATGTTGTGACACTGAAGTTGTAGAGAAAATTAAGCAATAAACCTCAAAGGTATTTTAAAAAGGAGGGACGCATCACTCCTGAAATCTCGGGAGAAAGATAGCCTCTTTTCTCTCCCTTTGCCTGGAGTATTCAAATGTTTGTGAAGGAATGATTGCAAGGAGGGCAAATATCAGGACAAATAAAACTATTCTTTCTCTGTTCTTCTACTGCCAGGACCTATTACAAGGGATCTACCATTTACCTGTATTGTTAATGTGAGGACTGGGGTTTAAGATATTCCTTCACCATTTTGACATATCTTGGGTCTGACCATTTTGATTATTTTAAAAGAAACATGAAGGCACCTTAAAAATGAAGTTTAATATAAAGTAAGATTGTCTCTGAAGTCAGAAATTGGCTTTTAATTTTGTGGGTGTCAGGTTGTTTTCTTACTGGTACATGCCCCTCTGTCATCCCAGCTGAGACTGGACCAGGATGACAGTGGAGAGATTTCAGGAATTAGCACTAATTTAGAAGTCTCTGATGGTTGGAAATTGGGATCAAGTAGTTAGCGGCAGTGGGGGTGGGCGGGGGGGGGGGGCGATCAGTCTTTGAAGTCAGATAATCCAGCTGTACCGCTATGAGCTCTGTGACTTGAAGAAAGTTACTTATCTCTCTGCTTCCTGGTTATCTTTGAAATGAGGATAATAACAACATCTCCTGCATAGGTTTGTGGGGATTAAGGGAGATTATGTGTGTAAGGCCTTTTGTATAGTCTAACACATGACGCTTAATGGATGTTGACTCTTTCTGGAAAACTCTAGTAGTCGTGTTTACACCATCTTACCCTCCAGTGAACTAGGCTTTCAGAGCCAGTCAACAGAGAATTGCTCATTCTTTTGTTCATAATCAGCAAAACAATGCCACCGTCACAGTGTCAGAAGGCTGCTCCCTAGTCTGTGGCCAGCAAATCTGCTTTCTATCAGTAGAAATCTCAGTTACTTAGAAGTTTTGGCTCAAGAAAAGATAAAAATCTATGATTGGGCACATTCAGAAAAATAGTTTTACTCTACATTGGCTTGAGTTATTATCATCAGAATATCTTCTTTCTTCAATCTCCCCATTTTCCATCAACAAAATCTTAGATAAAAACAAAGAAAATCTGCACATTTCCATCTCCTACTGGCAGATTGCTTTACCCTCCCATTCCCAGCTGTCAGTGGTACCCCAAATTTATTTTTGTGTTTCATATGGCTACAGAA